AGAAATAAGACCGACCTGTAGGGTGTTGAATGATTCTTATTCGAGCCCATCTTTAAAAAAGAGCAAAAGCAGGGCAAGCTGACAGTCAATCCTCCACTACGATGGAGTAATCAATGCTGTTCAGGGGTCCTTTGGCCAGACGGAAGGAAGCGTGAGTGCGTTATTTGTTGCAATGTTTACTCAGACTTGCCGGTGGAATAGGAACCGGACCGACGCTCCCCAGAATGGAAAAGGACCAAGGATCGTAAGGTCCAGTTATTTAAAAAAATAAAATAAAAAAAATATGGCGTGTAGGCCCTCTACTTATTCCATATTTGATGACAGAGAGTTTGTCTTTTCACAAAATAAAAAACAGGGCAATGTTATTAGCAGACTTACAGATCATAAATAGGTTGTTGGTTAACGTGGCCGTGTATGATTTTTTTCTACAGTGCAGGAGTGGCCATTGCATATGCATTCCCATATAGTCCATTCAGTTCACGAACTTGGAAAAATATTCAAAAAAATATTGTTCTTTATCGAGTAGTCACTGGCGTATAAATTGCCACAAAACTTGGAAAAAAATATTTCAAGGAAAATTCAGAGCAGAAATGAGCTGACGGCGACACAATACAGGGCAATCCGTCAAGCACTTCAGCAAAATATGCACAAGATAAGGAAAGTGAAACACCCACCTTTGGGGAAAAACAGCAGTCCAGCTAATACTTCCACGATGGCCATCCATGCATATATGCCCGAGATCTATCCCTCTCCTCGCTCGAGACATGCCTGAACAGAATCCACGTCGATAGCACGACTACAACCCGGTTCTATACAGCAAAACTGCAAACAAACATCTTTACCCATGAGAGAGGGACTCGAGACCCTAAAGAAGTCTCACATTCATGACTCGTACGCCCTTCTTCACTGCGCAGACTCCCACGATTTGCAAGAAGAATATCCCCTCCACACATACCTGGCAAAACGTGCACAAAAACGCTCCCTCCTCATGCCATATACCCCTACGCCGCAATTTTGCGAAAGCACGGTTCCTGGCGCAGAAAGCAGCAACGCAAAGTGAAAGTTTCTCTCTTCTTCGACTTAGATTGACAACCAACTGGCACTTGGATTCTTCAAGCCTCAGGCACATATCATCGTGGAAAGCGTAGGGCAAGCTGGGCTGGTTTCTCAAGAGAGCGAGTGCACCGCATATCGCATAGGCTGAGATGGACTTTCAAAGGAATGACCGAACCGTTTACTCCTTGCCATCCTCAGAACTTGGCGTGAATGAACACTACTTGGCCTTGGTCTGGTCATTGAGTTCCTGGCCTCAGACTAACAATTGTCTAATAACATGAAGGAAGCTCCCGATGCCCTGAATAGTTTTCGCACAATGTTGAAGATCTGACGGCCAGGACGTTCACATATCTCGTACCAAAACACCCAACCCCCAATTTACATACAAAGCACCTCAGCCCAGTGGCTCTGCCAAAATATCTCGCTTCCTTCCCCCCCCCCCCCCCCCCCCCCCACCCTCTCCTTCTCCTTCCCACCTCCTGCCTTTCCCCCCGTGTGTATCTCCCTCAAGAAAGCAGTGTCAAAAAAAGCTGCCTTCTTGACGCTACGGCAGGGCAGCCGCCCTATAGTATTTATTACACATTTCGGCTCCAATGAAGATCCACATAACCATCGTCAACATACATAATACGGGCATTTACACCCAGCGAGTAAGCAAGCTAGCGCTACCAACCACGTAGGTAAGCCAGGCCTCTGCCTCAATGTGTGTGTGTGTCTGTTTGTCTCTCTCTGTGTGTCTCTGTGTGCGTGTGTGCGTGCGTGTGTGTGTGTGTGTGTGTGTGTGTGTGTGTGTGTGTGTGTGTGTGTGTGTGTGTGTGTGTGTGTGTGTGCACGCATGGGTGTGGATGTGTGTATGGGTCTGAACTAATGGGGACAGTTAAACAAGTGTATGACATGATGGAACAAAGACCACCAACTCATCTCACCCTCAAGATAATGATGATCACTATCTCCTTATTAGCAACGCTGGCGATTCCGCTTGCAAGATCCAATCTGTATCCAAAATTTTGGCTCCCATAAGACGCCGCCTCATCGCAATCGCCAGCATCAAGACGACCATCTTCATGAAGGTGCTTTTGCTACGACCCGCCCAAAACTTCACGGTCATTTCCGACAACTTGGCTGCACCCATCACTGCCAACATCATCACTGCCACCAGTGCCAAGCACAAAATGATCTTCATCCTCCCTGCGGCCCCCGGCGGCCCGCTGCTGATCTCATTCCTCTGTTCTGGATGGGACCATCCTACCGACCATTCCAGTTCCGAGTGCATTCGCGAAGACAAACACAAGCAGTGCCGATAGCAAACAAAAGCAGCTTGAACAGCAATGGCAACAGACAAAGCAGTGCCGATAGCAATAAAAAAAAAAGGCAAACACACACACAGCCAGGCAGATATACTGACAGAGAGACGGACAGAGGAGAAGTGACTAGGAGCAGTGTAAGCGATATAGAAATGGAACAGGAAAAAAAAAACAAGCTAAGGAGCTAAGAACTGTATCCAAAAGCTTATCAAACCTTTGGACACTAAAAATAGCTCATGTACGTAAGACCACAATTCCCAAGGACCAGACACAGCAACTCAACAAACATATCACCGTGCTGAGCGTAAACGACTCTTATTTGTCTGCTGGTTAAGCAAGGCGAGTGTTCAGTCCGCTGGATACTCAAAAAAGAAACAATCGGCGGGGGACGAGTTTCAAAGAGAAAAGCAAATGCTGCCGGTCGGATATGAACACGGGACAAGATTACAACCAGTCATCTAAACGACGGCGGAAAATAAAAAGCCCAAGTGCTGCTGATTCCTATAAACCTAGACACAGACTAGGCCGTAATAATAATATAATGTACTAAAGTCAGAACCATCCCACACAACCAAAAAAACGCCAACCCCCTGCCCCTACCCCCCTCCCCCCACCCCCCACCCCTCCCCCTCTTTCTCCTTCTCTGCTGTGTATAATGGGAAAACCAATGTCACTCTATGTCCAGAAATTCTCCCATTCGCTTGCGCATCATGCATTTCAACTCTGACGCTTCCTTTTCCGCTTTCTGCGCCTGCAACACATCCAGTTACCCCCGAATAGTACGCGCGAATACACAATTTAATATTTATCCGTCAGCGCTTTTCTTTTTGCTTTTTGTTTTTCTTTTCAAAAAAAGGACAACATCCTTGAATGACAACATCATTGAACCCACCAGCCCCCGGTAATTCATAATTACTTTACTCTGGTAATCTGATTGCATCTGGATTCGAACTCGCGTCCGCATTTCAACAGTTCCTGCGCGTACCAGCTGAGCTAGGCCCATCGGCATCAGCATCGGCAAGCCCTTTTCTATTTCGTCTTCACCTATCTTGTCGGCACCTCAGCGGTTATCACCTCACCTCTGCGGTGGTGTGAACAAACAACCTTTATCTTGTCACAACCTTGAGAGACATATCTGGACTCGAACTTGGGTCCGGTTTCGAACTTGGGTCTGTATTTTTCAACAGTTTGTGGCAGCACCAAGCATCACATCTCCTCAAGAGGTTCCTTGCAAAAACATATCCTACAGACAGACTCCTACAGAGCAAGAGAAAGGTCGTTTGTTCACACCACCACCGGCTGGCATGCATGTTTAGTTCATTGCTCACACTTTTTGCACAACAGTCATTGCGATCTGACTGTTTACCAGGGGGTGCCTGTTGGACTTGACTCCTAAGGAACCCACCCGACTGTGACCTTCCTGAACAGGCCGACTGGCCCCCCTTGGCTTGAGACCTTGACCCTGAAATTCGAATTTCGGGTCTGCATCCTGGAATGTACAATCTTTCGGAACTCTCGCTGGCCTAATTTCAAGGTCCTCCGAGCCAAGTTACAATTTTTACCTATCAACTATGTTGATTCCTTGCCTAGCTCTCTCATAGTAGGACACTGCGCGGTGCTGTCTCAACTAGCTCATCTCTAGTAAACCAGCGATCTTCTGAAGGCTCTTGATAAGCGAATCTAACTTTGTATTGCTGCGTCTAGATCTATAAACATCCTCTGCAACGATGCGGTCCACGTCATATTTACCATCCATATCAGGAGGAATCATAGATCTTCGAGATGGAACTAGCCAATTGCTGACACAATCCACATCACACCGGGTAAGTGTGCAAATGCGGGGGGTAAGTGTGCAAATGCGGGGGGTAAGTGTGCAAATGCGGAGGAATTTCAACAACGTAGGAAGGACCATCCACATCACACCAATCACGTCAAGTACCTGCCACAGTCCCCTATAGGCAGGCAATAACTTCTGCGAGATGCTCTCCTCTGGGAGAAACTCCTTAGACTTAACCCAGACCAAATCCCCTACAGCAAACTGCGAAGGTCTGCGGTGTTTAATTGCTTGTTCTATCATCTGATGCTGTGCCTTTCTGATGTTCTCCCTTACCTTTTCCAAGTCTTTCTCGTACTGCACATCAAACCCTCTAGTCCTTAAAAAAGCCCTTGCACTTGATCAGGGTTCAGACAGTCAGGTACGGGATGATCGTCGCAAGGCCGTGCAATGTTTCAAGTGTGGTGATCTCGACCACAATGTTCCTTTTTGTCCCGAATATCGGTACCCAAAAGGGAACAACCAGTAGAGTTTGCACTCTCCTGTCCGAAGATCCCATTGGTAGAGACTGTACTAGGCCCCCACCTGGCTAGCTGTCCAGAGGTTGGTTGTGCTAGGACCTCTCTAAGTGGTTTCCCTCACAAGCATTGGTGACGAACTGATCACTCGCCGCCGTGCTTGGGCCGGAATATAGAAGAAGTCGAAGGGGTAGCTAATAATAGCAGATGTAGAAGTGTGTAGAGAAAGGCAAGGCGCGTTAGTAGACAGTGGGTCGACGCGCAGTTATATTAGTTGAAGAGGGTTGCAGAAGATGCACCCTGGAATGAAGGTGAAAAAGCTCGATGAGCCGGTCAAATTGGGCAATAATAGAGAGATGGTAGTACGCGAGTACGTTGAAGGGGTTGAGGCATACTTCCGGTTGGAGGCAGGGGGCAGAGTAGAGAAAGTTCCGCACTCTGACACTCTTAGTGGAGGATAGCCTTCCTTTTGACATGATATTAGGAACAGACTGGGGAAACGCCACGTATGCTGACGTCAAGATGGGCGACCACGAGTGCTGGCTGCCCAGTGCCACAAGTGGGGAAAAAAAGCTGCTTTTGTTTCATGCATCCGGTGTTGAAAGTAATTTGTCCCTTCGTTGTATGAGTGCCCCCCCATTCGCCAGGCACGTGGTCAAGAATGACCTTGCCGAACAAGTGTTTGTTGCTTATGTGAGGCCGGTTAGTGAAGGGAAAAAGGAAGAAGTGTCCATACCGCCCGAAGTGCAAAGTCTGTTAGACGAGTTCGGTGACGAGGGAGAGGCCCCAAGTGGAGTTGTGGAAAGGGAGACCATGCACCGGATACACGTAGTACCGGGTAGCCAGATTCCCAAGGGCCTCATCTATCGTATGTTTCCCAAGGAGCCCGATGAATTACGCAGACAGTTGGATGAGTTGATAGAGAAAGGGTGGATTAAGCCAAGTTCGTCGCCATATGGTGCACAGATCTTGTTCGAGCCGAAGAAAGAAGGCGATCTGCCTATGTGTATAGACTATCAGGGACGCCATGCGATTACCATTAAGAATGCAGAACCATTATTGCGGATAGACGACCTTTTGTCTAAGATAGACTTGAAGTCAGGTTACCATCAGATTAAGGTGTTGCCCGCGACGACCTTTAAAACTCAATTGTGGTCATGCCGTTTGGTTGACTAACACCCCTGCTACCTTCCAACGGTTCCTGCATGAACTCTTTTGTGATTGGTTAGATAAGTTTGTTGTTGTATATTTGGATCACATTCTGATCTTTAGCAAGTCGTTAGAGGAACACCAACAGCACTTTCACTTAGTGCTAAGTAAGTCGCGCGACGCACAGTTTAGGCTGAACCCCAAAGAAGTGTGAATGGCCCAAGCGCCAGGTTTTGTACCTGGGACATGTGTTAGATGGAGATGGAATCAAGTCGGAAGACGCCAAAATAGCAGCAATAAGGGATTGGCCGACACCGTGTACTTCGACGGAACTATGATCGTTCCTTGGTCTGGCCAACTACTATTACAAGTTCGTGCGAAAATTTACTGTAAGAGTTGCTTCGTTGCGTAGGCTGTTGAGGAAAGAGAGTTGTTTGCTCTTAGAGAAGCCTTGAATCATTGGCGACACCACCTCCTAGGTCGACTTTTCAAAGTGTATTCAGACCATAAGACACTTCGCTGGCTGAAGACCCAAGCTAGAATGACACCTAAGTTGACAAGGTGGGCTGGGGCGATTCATCAGTTTGATTTCGAACTGAAGCCAGTCAAAGGGAAGTATAACGTTGTTGCTGATGCGGGAAGTAGGCGAGCAGATTTCTTCGGTGCCATTGTAACACACTTGGATGCGGGCGCTGAATTACAAGAGAAGGTTAGGTCCGCCTACACTAGTGATCCACTCTATAGTCAGTTGATTAGCAAGGTGCAGACAACACCACACGAAGTTCCAGATTATAGAGTGACGCAGGGACTGCTGTTTGAGAAGACAGATGTGCACACCAGATTGTGCATCCCAAACAGTGAAGAGATTCACAGTCTAATCCTACGGGAATGCCGTGATACCGAGGGACATTTTGGTTGGAGGAAGACGTATTCTAACCTCCTACATTCCTACATGTGGACTGGTATAGAAACATGATTGTATAGCTTATGTACAAAGCTGCAAAGTATGTGAGTGGAACAAGAGTTCCACGCAGCCTCCCCTTGGTTTACTTAGACCGCTGCCTATATGGTCGGGTCCTGGGAACTCCGTGTCTATAGACTTTATGGACACTATTGAGAAGTAGGAATGGGAAGAGCCAAGTTATGGTGATAGTGGACAGATTTAGCAAGTTTGCTGTTTTTGTGCCACTTCCTGCTGAAGCCAGGACAGACGTACTGATTCAGGAATCGCTCAATCATTGGGTAAAGGACTACGGGCATCCCTTGACTATCCTGAGTGGTAGCGATACAAGGTGTACGGGCAAGCACTGGCAACATCTTATGAGCATGTATGGGTCCAAATTGACTATGTCTTCAGGTAGACACCCTGAAACAAATGGACAGACCAAGCAGATGAACAAAGTGTTGCAACAAGTGTTGCGCATGTACATATGACCAGATCAGATTGACCGTCTATTCCCATCTCCACCAAAGGTTTGCCTTCAGCTATTCCCGAGTGCTCTGGGTACAGCCACCAAGTCCTGCCGCTACCTCTACCCCATGTGAAAGGAGAACCTCTACCACCTTGCAAAGGACCATAACCCTTACCTCCCACGCAGTAGCTACCTTCGCCACCACCCCTCTGAGCAGCGGGTCATCGTCCTCCACGTTGTCGTCGACCTCGGCCTCTACCTTGTCGCCCTCCCCCACGGGCTACAACTGCCGCATAGTCCCCTCCCCGCTACTTGGCTCTTGTTCTCTTCTTCTAGACCATATTCTATTTGGTCATATCCTAACGACTCTACATGGTCTTCCTCGAAGGTGACCAGCAGATTATCCTTCCCCTCTATATTGCCGGATATGGTCCTATTCTTCCACCTTACCTGCTTGCAGATCCTTCCAATAGTGGCAATAGTTAGCCTCTTGCAAAAAGCTGGCATGGTCTACAGAGATCTTACTGGACTTTTCGTAAGTCATCCCCTCAGTACACGACCTCATCCTTGCAGCAAAATAACTTGTCGCCACAAGAAGTAAAAGTTGGGCCCGAGGCAGGGTCGAAGCGTCCGAAGGTTCTTAAATTTTTGGGCCCATGTCAAATCCGTACGTCCCAAAAAACAAAACAAGCTTTGGCCGTGATTGCAATTGGATACACTTTTTGGAGTACTGCCCTCATGAGTGTCAGACTCACAAAAAAAGAACCCCCCCAAAAAAAGCCAACAAAGCTTTGGCCGTGAAAGTGGTTGGATGCATTTCCACGACGCTAGTGAGTATGCCCTCAGCGAGGGCAAGGCAAGGGGGGGAAAAAAAACAAAAGGAGAAAAAAAAAAAAAAAAAAACAGCAATGCTTCCCTCTCCCTGTAATAGTGGTCAGATGCATTTTGAAAAGTGATCGTTTGAGTATGGCCTCCATGATGTCCTTCCACGACATCATTGATCTCTGCCATGTTTTTTCCTTTCTTTTTTTTTTCCCTTCAGGTAGACCGCCGGCACCGGTCCCACTTCCAAAATTCCCACTGCAGGTACGCACACGCGGAAGGCTCGAAAAATAGCGGCGCGCAGTGGGCAGGTAGCTTCGGGATTTTAGGTGCAGGTGCACTGCTGGTTTAAGGGGTTCGGAAAGCACTCTAGCAAAATTGTTCAGGATGTGAGTGGGGGTCAGTCCGTGTTCCGGACCATGCAGTCCATAGTGGCCTTGAGTGCCGATGCACTTTTCCACTTGCGGTCACTAATGTTAAGGATGAGGGATTCAGTACAGTGGGCTAAGTTCTTATCTTCAAACCTGTTTTTCAAGGCCCTGAAGAAATCCTCTATCCTAGTGCGCTGTGAGTACTGCAGCATTGACGTACAGCCTGCCTCCACCACATCTCCCCCTAAGCACGAACTCGCCATAAGCGGTCCCAATATGGAATCAACTGTCCATACAGGTACGCGTCCATCGCCGCCTCCCAATGAAAAATGCTCTCCTCCTTCCCAGTGTATGTCCAAGGGAGTTTTACCTTCATTTGCTCCCTTCGTTCTCCTCCCTCAGACTTATCTCCTTCCTTCCATCATCCTTTCTGGGACCCTTTGCTTTCTTGTCGCCATCCCCATCATCGCCACCATCTCCATCCCCAACCCCACCACCGCACCGCCACCGCCACCGATCTTAACTGCAGCGATGGTGTTAGTCAGTTTCTGAGTGAAGATATCGTCTAATTGTGCATACCATAGGACCCTGTGGTCCACTTAGCTGGATGACACACTAAGGTAGTTATTCCAGATGCCCTTAAACTCATCCTGGTGTTGTTCTTTCCAACGGCTCGTCAAAGTGCAGAGAGTTCCTGGGTGGTGTGCAGCAAAGTGTCGGTCAGAAGGTTCCAGTGTTCCTCAGTTTCTACTAGTTAGCCTTTCTGCTCTTTCAACAACGTCTGGAGTCTCTCCTCTTCCTCCTTCAGTATTTTCTTCTCCTCAATTTCTTTCCATCTTGCAGCCAACATCTTTGGATTGAGTTCCCCCTTTTTCTCCTCAATCAGCAACTTCATTTCCTCTTGATCCTTTGTTGCTGCCAACTTCGCTACAAAATGATCCCTCTCTTTGTCAGTTTCTTCCGGAAGCTCTGTCCAGTACCCAATTTTTTCCACTCAGTCCAAGTCCGCAACCTGCTGGAGTCTCAACTCCGCATCATGGCTGCTCTCCGCCACATCCTCTCCACCCAGTCCTAATCTACGGGCACTTTTCTTAAGACTTTTTTTGCATTTTAGAACGAAAAACCGCTAAAGATGAGGCTTTTTTTTTCTGCAAGCAGCCGCCGGCCTCCAAATCGCTCACACGTACAATTACCCAAACAAGCTCATTGGTCTGTTGGTACTTCCAAGATCTGTGCCTGGGTTCAAAGCCCAGGTCCAGCAACTCGCGTGTCGTAACAACCACTTTTCCACCTAGACGAGTAGATCCATAATTGAAACAGCTTTACCTCTATTGCAAAAAACATGAAATACACTAAACCCACTATATTGCCTTTTCCGTGTGCAGTCCTTTCTTTGCTTTCGTCACTTCGGCTGTTTTTTGGGTTTTTTCTTGTATTTCTTGCAGCTCCCCTTTTACTGTGCCGCTTGCGTACAAGGCTTGCCACATTGATTGTGGTTGAGCACAAGCTGCCCACATCCCGGGTGCCATAATGGCCCACTCGCATGCTATGATATGTCAAGGCCGTCGCCCTTTCAAACAAAAAAAAAAAGAGAAGGGGGCAGGGTAAAGGGGCAGGTATACTTCGTTCATACGTCAGCACAATTCCAGCTCATATTTTGCCCATTCTCTTAATGATACTCCATTCACATGCATTCAGTAGTGCTACAGAATGGTAGGGAGGGAGGAACGTAGGAGGGGGAGAAGAAGCTATGCACAAGGGAAGAGAGAAGGGAGAAGGGGGAAAGGAGGGAACAGGCGAGACAAGGGATAGAAGAGAGTCTCACAAACTTCACAGGGTTCTCAGTACTCGCCGCCAGAACGACTGCTATGGAATGGCACGAGAGGCCACAGCCAGCCTTTGGGTTGCGGAGAAATTTGTGCAGGCATTCAAAAATCTCTAAACACACGCAGCCAGGCACAATTTCAAAGGCGCGAAGAAGCACCGCAGAAAGGCCAAGGCACCCTACGAGGACATAAAGAAGCTGCCAGGCAGCGAACCACTCCCGCATATCAACGGGTAAAGTGACGTGACCTGCTCAACGTGACCTGCTCGTTGAACGTGTACAATTCGACTTTTCCCATAACTATTGTAAGCGGCCACCGCTGCAGACCTTACAGGACCGGTTTGCGTGTGGAGTGTGGAAGCACTGCATCCAATTCTTGTTGTTGCAGTTGCTTCACCGAATGGCATGCAGCGGACAGATGTCACACAGGCTAGGCGTCTCCTACATGCTAGGAACACAGAGGCCACAATTGTATAGGGATTGCCAATCGGGCCCCTGTCTACAAATAGAACATGCCATGTAAAGGTATCTTAACTGTTAGGATTGCGCATTACATGAAGGAAACTCTCCGCAAAGAGGGAAAAAAGGGGAAATGAAAGGGCTCGCAGCATGTCAACACGTACCTCTCTGATTTCAGCAAGCGACACGTTAATCATCTGTGGTGGAAGGTCTGGCCGCTCTGCATCCTGAAAGAGAGAAAAGACAAGACAGAGAACAGGAAAGAAGTATGACCAACAGGGCATCACGCATAACAACATGGATTGCGTATAGGATGCAGCCGTGTACATCCTTCGTTCACTTTTCAGCTACACTGCATGCATCCCTTCCTCAAAAACTTTATCTTCTCTTCTTTAGTCTCATGATGAGCTGCTGCAATGGAAAACCACTCAAACAAAATAGTTCAAACTTGCAAGTTAAAAAGCCTGACTGCTGCACAAAATATCACACATTTTGTATCAGCCTTTCCCATACAGGCTTTCCGGCAAAACATTTGTAGCAAATAATTGAGTTTCAACTTCCAAGTTCGAAACCGAGAGCACGGAGTTACACCCCACATCCATATCAGCCCTGCCTTTAGACTTCACACCCCCTTGAAACCAAGGGACAACTTTATCCTTGGACCTCCCTTTTCAAAAAGAAGCCTACAGTCTTCCCCCGAATACAACGTACGGTCATTATAGCTGAATTTGGTGCATCTTTCGGTCTAAATTCAGCTATAATGACCGTACGTTGTATTCGGGGGAAGACCGTAGTACCTCCGTTCCAGTACAATCTGTCTGTCCTGAATCAACGTCAAGTTTTGCGTGGATGTGCAATTACATGACACTATGTAGAGGCTTGCCGTCCACTCAGTCCACATAGCACGAGCTTCCTCAATCATGATGCAAGTTTAAAAACACTGGAGAACCCCCCCAAGTTCAGCCACCTGTCACACAGCTCCTCAGAGTCGCGCTGATGATATTGCACTGTCCAAGACCATCATGGTGCATGCTTCAGTATACATCTCCCAACCATAGAAGGCAACCATTAAACGGTCACTGGAAACCTGACCTACATGTCTCCCTTGGAGGTCTTTGGTACTCATGCAGATGGGCAACAAAGTCGAAAGAGAAAGAGAATGAAACAAGACAAACAGAAACCGAGCAGATTCCTAAGATCATGTACCCCACCTACACAAATGGTACAACTAGCCGTAACAAGGCACAGCACCTCACCCTTGTGATCCGAGGGTAGGAGTATGGAAATCACACTGCCAGCCAAACTGCAAGCCACAGAATGATGGGGAGAGGATAGACAGATACTACAAGAAGCATCTGGATGCAATCAGTAGCCACAGAGTGAGAGAGAAGAGGCATGCGACCGTGTGTGTCACTTGTCACGTTTGGCGCACAACTCCACGAAAAAAGCATGACTGTGCCAGACTGTTTCATGCTGTGTGAGAGAGAGAGAGAGAGAGAGAGAGAGAGAGAGAGAGAGAGAGAGAGAGAGAGAGAGAGAGAGAGAGAGAGAGAGAGAGAGAGAGAGAG